TGAAATAGGTCAGAGGCGATTGAATGGACGAGCGTACCGGTTGGCCAAGTACTCGCCATAGCCTTCGAAGGCCGAGAGGGCATCGATGGTCTGTCCGTTGCGGCAGCCAGCACGGATAGTGCCGCCGTATACGATGAGCGACGGGCGGTTGTGACGGGCCATTGCGATGAGGCAGCCCGGCATGTTCTTGTCGCAGCCGGGCACGAGGATGTTGGCGTCGTACCACTGGCCGCCCATGACCGTCTCGATCGAGTCGGCAATGAGGTCGCGCGACGGCAGACTGAATGACATACCGGCCGTGCCCCTACGCCAAGGTTCATGTGAGTATACAAGCGGAAATGGATCGGACGGCGTACTGCGCGATGACATCGCTGACGCCGATCGTGTTGAAGCGCAGGCCCACAAGGTCTTGCGCCTGAACGCCCTTTTTGATTTCCATCGCGAGGTCCAGCAGATGCATGTTGCACGGGTTGCCTTCCCACCACATGCTCGCAATGCCGACCTGCGGCTTGGTGATGTCGCCTTCCTTGATGCCGGTCGCGTACAGCATGGCCTGCGCCGCGCCGCGGCTCTTGTGCTCCGTGAGGATCGCCGAGTACTTGTTGATCTTGACCTCCTTCTTGGTCGTCGAGCTCATGGCCCGCGCGAGGCTTCGGCGCCACTGCATCATGCTGGTCCGGTTGCGATTGGGAAATGCGACCACAAATCTTCCCTCGGACGTCCGGGGATTCATCCGGATAACGATGCGCAATCGTTGAAGTGGTGCGATCGTGACCGCCAGATCAAGCGCGTCGGTGTACTACCAGGTGTACTACCGTCGCTGGCGACAGACAGAGGATGCTAGGGCAACTCGCCGCGTTGCCTCCGAGGTACTCTTGTCCACCTAGGTCGTCGCTTGGAGCCATTGCAGGGTGCGCAAGACGCTGCCACGTATGCTGGGACACGTCGGCACCGTGCACCATTGCGTCAAGCCGCCGTCGCTCGGGATTCAGTGGCACCCGGGATTCACTACACATAGCTAATCGAACGAGCTTTGTGAGGATTAGGGCTGTAGACCGAGGACAATACGGCTGGAAACGGTCCTTGAACGTTGTCTGTCGGCCGCGGGACATGTGGCGTTTCGTGCGCGTTGAGAAGGGCGACTACGTGCAGCATACGCGCCATCGATCTCAAATAAGATCTGCGTCGCAAGCGCTCATATGAGATCGATGGATTGCGAAGAGAACACAATTCGAGTAGTCGGCAGAGACGATCGCTCGCTCTCCATGCAACGCGGAGACTTCGCCAAGCTAACCTTTTCTGAGGCTCGACATGCACCATTTTCGGTGAGTTTTCTTCGAGTTGCCCGAACGACGTGGTGCCATTTACGAAGCTTCCTTCGCCCTCCCAGATCCAGCCCTCCCAGATCTAGTCGTCGAAATCGTACTAGTACTCTGCAGCCAATGGAGGCATATGCTCGGTCGTTCCCGCGGAAATGCATGGACGGTTAGTCGTGGTCATAGATTGGCTAAAGTCAAACCCTCGCGACCAATGCAGCTACCAGATCGACCGCCACAGCGCCTTCGATCGGGGACTGACTCGCCTTGGCGATCGTTCCAGAAGCATCGTTCCCTTGCCCATGCGGCCTTGCCTCACCTCTCGCGAATTTGTGAATTGCTCTCGAGACGAGCTCCATGGACGTCGATGGACGGGTGCTATAGGACGACCGCATCGAGGCTCTAGTGAGGATCAACAAGAACTGAGTGAGGAGGGTCCTACTATGAGGACGGCTGCGCTCTCCCACTGCACCCCGGGGCACAACATCGTAGAGCGGGCAGCTTCTCGGCGATACCCCGGTGTTCCAGTCTCTCAGAATACATATAGGACCTCGGAAACTCGATGGCGGCCGTTGTGTGGTGAAGTAGTCGCGAATTTGCCATGTCGGTGCATTTCAAGTTCAAGTCGGAGAAGGAGTTCGGGACGGTCAACTTCCCGGGGACCGCGATCCGGGTCATCGACCTCAAGAAGGCCATCATCGAGCAGAAGAAGCTCAACAAGGGCCTCGACCTCGAGCTTGTGATCACGGACGCGTCCAACAACACGGGTACCTCGGCGGCGACGGCCGGCCATGGCGCTGACGCCGCTCTTGTAGTCTACGAAGACGACAACCAGCAGCTGCCAAAGAACACGAGCGTCATTGTCAAGCGCGTCCCGGCAAAGAACAACAACGGCCTCCTCGCGCGCATCAAGGCGGAACTCCAGGCCTCGTGCGTACCCTTTCTGCATTCTTCTGCGTCTTCTGGCTGCATATTGAGGACGAGCATGGTCGTTGTTAATATCGTTGTTTCTACGCCTCTGCGTCCTCGTCCTCCTATGCATTGATGCATGCTGTTGATCGTCGTTGGAGAGTGTTTCACGCACGATTCTGCCCCATAGAGCCCCACCGCCACTGCTTCCGACGGTCTCGCCCCAGCTGGTACACTCCGATCCCTCAATGCGAGCTAACACGACAACACGTAGCTCGCACGTCCCGACGCCGCCGAACCCGCGCTCCTCAACGTTGGCGGCGCCGAGACCGTCGAAGATGAACTTCAAGCGCTCGACATGATCCAGCAAGAAGCCGAAGAGGTGCGCAACACGCGCCTTGGCAACAAGACATGGACGGCCGCGGGCGGCAGCAACGCCCACCGCGTCGGCAACTACTACGGCGCGATGGGTGGCCGCGGGGGCCGCGGCGATGCGCTTGGCGGGCGCGGTATGCCCGGCGGGCGCGGCATGATGGGCGGTCGCGGCGACATGGGCGCCAACCAGACGCCGCCGCGCGACTACCTCTGCTTCCGCTGCGCCGTGCCCGGCCACTTTATCCAAAACTGCCCCACGAACGGCGACCCGAACTTCGACAAGCACAAGGTCACGAAGAAGACGGGCATTCCCAAGACGTTCATGCAGCCGATCAAGGACTCGGAAGAGGTCGCTGTCGGCGCCGGCATCACGGTCGTGAACGGTCCCCAGGGCGGCCTAGCCGTCATTGGCCCCCAGACGCACAACTTTACAAAGTTGATTGGCCTCTCGGGCGGCGGCGCCGCGCTGGAGCAGCTCCGCATGAACCCGCCCGAGCACCTCGCGTGTCCGCTCTGCAAGCGCCTCCTCCAAGACGCGGCGCTGATTCCTTGCTGCAACGACGTGCGTCTCTGCCGACTCAACGTATCTAACACTTCTCGTCTCTAGACGGCGTGTGACGAGTGCATTCGCGACCGCCTCATTCGCCACAACTTTGAGTGTCCGCTGTGCCACCATGCCAATATGACCCCCGAGCAGGTAGCGTAGCATGGTCGTGAGGACATATATTGACAATGGCTCGTAGCTGCTGCCCAACAAGGCGACACGGACGTCTGTTGACGAGTTCCTGCGGCGATCGCAGACAGAGCAGCAAGAGCGCGAGAAGATCGTCAAAGAAGTCGAAGAGCAGTCGAAGCGCAAGCAGCTTGAGGAAGTGCAGGCCGCCAAGCGCGCAGGCCCAACCGCCGACGCGATCCTCGACATCGCCAAGAAGCAAAAAGAAGAGGAAGAGGAAGATGATGGCTTTGGCGGCGACGTCTATGACACGATTGACATCTCGACGAAATCCGACGAAGAAGAGGCGCCCGAGACGTCTCCCGCCGGCGATGACATCAAGAGTGATGAAAAGACCGCTGCCGAGACGTCCGAGGCCACCAAGTCGGAGGAACCGACGACGCACGCCGCCGGTCACGGACCGCCGCCGCACATGCAACCGTGGGGCGCCCGTCCGCCGATGATGCCGTGGCACGAAGGGCACCCGCCGCCGGGGCCTTGGTACGAAGGTGGCCACGCGCCGTGGTTCAACGGCCCCCGGCCGCCGTATGGCATGCGTGGTCCGCCACCCCGCGGTGCGCCGCCTCGAGGCGCTCCGTTTTACGGCGACTACTATAACGGGCCGCCGCCGCCGTGGATGATGCGTGGACCTCCTGCGTTTGGCGGTCGTCCGCACCACGACGACGACGACAAGAAGGACAAGGCCGCCGACTCGGACGATCGCCGCAAGAGCAGTCGACACAGCCGCGACCGCCATCGCAGCCGTAGTCGCGACCGCAAGTCTCGCTACCGCAGCCGGAGCCGGAGTCGAAGCCGTCGCGGCCGGTCTCGTGACAAGCGCGATGA